AGGGAGACCCTGTCTCAAAAAATAAGGAGAAACATATTCATAAATCATCCTTTGTTCTTAAGCAGTTCAAGAAGAAGACCAGTGTTTAACTTTTAAAATGAAGTCAACTATCTTCTATGAACTACAGCATCATTTGCTAAACATTACACGTAGGGTTCTTATATCCTCACTGTTTTAGGTTTTCATGATACATTAAAATCCTTCAGGGCTGGCAAGATGGCTCCGTGAGAAACAATGCTCACTACCAAGCCCACATCCCTGGGACCCACATCGCAGGAGAGCCCTAACTCCTGCCAGGTGTCCGCTGACCTCCACACACATACCTTATACCTTGGTAAGCCAGTGCCCACACACATACAACGACTAAAACGTACTTTAAAAAATTAAGCCTCAGGGGGTCACACAGAAACAGAGAAGGGGAAAAACTCCAATCCTGCACCTTTGTCTTTAACAATAAGCAGTTACTGCTTATTTTGCAAGTCTCTATCTACGCATACAGCAGGGTTCTCTCCTTAGCCTGGTTTCTGCAATATGGGCTACACTGCCTGTCAGTGAGCCCCAGGGACCTGCCTGGACCTGCCTGCCTCAGCTTTCTTAGCACTGAGATCATAAGCACCCCCAGATTCTTTTAAAGTCTTACTTTTAATATGTATATTTATATATTTAACATGCATTCATATACACTTTTTTGTGTTGAATAGACATATCCACGTGTCTGTGTGGGTGTATGTACACATGAGTGCAGTTGCTGACAGGTCAAAAGAGGGTGTGAGATGCCCTGGACCTGGAATTATGGGGAGCTTCGAGCTGTCAGATGTGAGTGCTGGGAACTAAACTCAGGTCCTCTTCAAGAAAAGTATGCAGTCTTAACCCTCTAACCGCTGAGCCATCTCTCCAGCCCAGCACCCCTGCACCCCATGTGGTTTCTGGAGCTGTAACTTACATCCTCAAGCTTGCAAGGCAGGTACTGTGTAACTAAGTCATCTTTCCGGCCTGGGTATCCAACCTTTTGACACTGCAATATGATGCTCTCATCTGCAAATACATTGGGCCGCAGTCATACCCATCCTGGGGTACATGTGACCTTAGGCAGAAGGAAGGAGAGGCCTGTGTCACCTGTCCCCATTATGATCACATGGCAGGGAAATGTGGCTTGCTCCCTCTGAGCAGCACCCCCAAAGCAACAAACCCCGGTCCGCGACACATTCTATCACAGACTCACTAGTCTGGGAAATATCCAAATTCAAAGTCTACAGAAGGGCTCTGTTGTCCACTGGATACACACAGCTCTTATGTCACCCCAAAAGTCAAACCTCATTAGAATGAACCCTTAGACCAAGGACTCTGTTACCCGTGGGTACCTAGCTATGCAGTTACAGAGAGCAGCGATGACTGAGCACTTAGACCGAAAAGACATTTTCTCTTTCAAAACTATACATGGTGGCTGGCTTTGTTCAGGATTGCCCTAAAACTGTCGCACCCCCGAGTCTCCTCTAATTTCACCTCTCTCACTCCGACTCTCGGGTCTTTCTGAATTAAGAGCAAAGAAAGGCTTTTGCTTTGTGTTCTGTTCATTGCCGTGGGAAGGAAAAAGGCATACTTATAAGGATACTGCCATCAGCTTTCCATCAAGTCCGGTTACCTCTGCCGACTCTCACTGTGGGCCTCTCCCAGCTGTCTGTCACTCAAAGCAGCCACGGCCCCCTCCACTTAGTGCTATTTACTTTCTAAAGACCCAGAGGGGTCACTCTCAACTTAGAAGCACCTGGATTGCATCCCCCCCCTTAAATACAAATGTAGTCTATGGCACAGGGCCAGCTCCCTCACAGACAGCAAGGCCACTCTGGGATGCCGACAGCCGGCATGATCACTGGCCATCAACTTTGCAGACTCCATCCCTTCCAAGTCTGCACCGCTTCTGGCCTCAGTGAATAAGAACGTAACTTTCAAATACAGCTAGCTTTCAAGTACAGCCCGGGGACACTGCCTTCCTGTATCAATTAGCCCTCAAGACATTTGACTTCGGAAGCTTGTCAGTTGCGGGTTTTCACTCAAGGTCAAATTAATAGTTAAAGCAAACCATGACAGCCTGCCTCAAAGCCTGAGATGGATATTGCCTAAAGAATGACACCTAAAGTTAATCTGTGATCCCTACAATCAAGTGTGTACAACACACACACACACACACACACACACACACACACACACACACACACGGGAGCACACCATACACAAGATGGGATCTAGTTGGAGGTCTTCAGGTTACTCAGGATTTGCCCTCAAAGAAGATTCAGGGTACGCCATCTAAGGTCTGGCACCATTTCTCCAGCCTCTCTTCTGGCTTCCCCCACAATGTGCTACTGTGCTACGTTGCCTCAGCACAGGCCAAACAGGGTCAAGCAACCATGAGCGAATGTCCCCCAAACTGTCCAAATAACTATTTCGTTCATAAGCATGTCTGGCATTGGTGGATCGCTTCCCCACGTCAGCAGAGACACGGCGATACTGCGGTGGAGGAAGAGGGTGAGTCACTCTACCACCTTCAAGGGAGGCTGACTATGTTCCTATTTGGGGCCATCCATGCATGGAAAGGCCATGTGCTGTATCTACGGAAGGCTATTTAAAGAATGATAAGATATGTAAAGCCATCTATGGTGCGGCTTTCAAGTTGTAAATGTCAGTGACAGCCGAGTCTGCTGCTTATGGATCTCCTCCAACACCAAACTGACAAAAGCCCAAACCAGCGGCTCTGGGGGAGGCTGACGGGCAGCTGCTCTTTCAGTAGTCATGTTTGGTAGAGCCAAGAGGCCCCCTGAAAGGTGGCTAACTATGGCACACCAAAGTTGGGGGGGGGTGGCAAATTTAGGTCATAGAAAGACATATACCTGGAGTCCTACATGATACCAAATATGTCTGCCTGTTTCATGAAGGCCATCAAATCTGTACAGTGAGAAAGAATACAGCAGGGGGAGATATAGAGACTGCGGGGTGGGGGGGGTGGGGGGGTGGAACATAGTATAGAAAATGCAAAATAGACTGAGTTTCATGTAGCCCAGGCTGACCTCAAACTCATAAAGTAGCTGAAGATGGCTTTGAACTCTTGATTCTTCTGTGTGTGTCCACCTTCAGAGCACCAGGACTACAGATATTCACCTCAAACCCAGTGTATACAGTAGTGGAGACGGAACCCAGGACTTCCTGCATGGTAGGCAAACTCGCCCAGCGGAGTCAGATCCCAGCCTGACTCTCATCTCTAAGCATAAGCTATTCTATTAGAGAGCACAGACAATATGCCCAGCTCTGCCTTCTCCAAGGCCAGCCTGCTGCCCCCAGATGCCATCCTTGTCAACCATGGAAAGCGCTGATCAGACTGCTGACCAGATCCCACTGAACCAGTTTCATAGAGCGCAAACCCTGGGGATAGCTTGCTCAGTTTCCAGACCCTGCAATGTGTCATGCTCATTATGAAGGTTGTGGGTATTCAACATGTTTGCTGTATTTTAGACAAAAAAAAAAAAAAAAAAAAAAAAAAAAAAAAAATCCAGGTCCTTAGAGATTCAAAATGCCTTCCTTTGAGCTTCCAAAGGAGACACTTCCTGTTTCCCTGATTTCTCCCGGAGGGACAGACTCTCAAGGTGACCGCCAGAGAGAAACCACAGATAAAAGTCACATGGTCACATGACTGATTAATGCTGTTATTCATATTAAGTGATTCTTCTGAGGGCACTGCCTGGGTGTTTTTGCTCCTGTGATGTGGTTTGAGTCTGAGTGTGTTCAAAGACCCATGTACATAAAAGAAATAAGGATTAGAAATGTTGAATATTGTATTGCATTGGCCCCATAACCTTGACACCCAAATCCTCTCAGCCTGTGAGGCCCACAAGCTCTGCTCTGAGTTTACCAAGGCAACTAACTCTCAGAGGGAGCTTGAAGCACCACGGGGGATCCAGACAGTTGAAAAGAAATACTTAGCAAACTGTTTTCTCTAGAAAATAGGGGGACAAGGAAATAAACTCCTTCAGCCAGGGTTCCTCACATAGCCAGAGTTCAGGTAAGGTTTAACCATTCTGTGTGTGAGTGCACATGCTATACTCAATGGTTCTGTGTGTGGGCATGCATGGTATATACGTGCAGTATGAGCAGAATGTATACACTCATGTGCTGGGAGGGGTACAGGAGTCCATGTGCACACAGGAGGCCAGGAGGGCATCAGGTGTCTTGCTCTCTCATTCTCTGCCTTATTCTCTTGAGACAGGGTCTCTCAATGAGCCTGGAGGTAGGCTGGCGGCCAGCAAGACCCAGCGAGCCTCTTGTGTATTCCCCCAAAGCACCGGGGTTATGGGTATACGTATGTGTAGCGGGTGCTGGAGATTTGAACTCAGGTTCTCCTCCATCTTCCAGTTCTCATGTTATACTGTCTTCAGAAGCCATGCTTTTCTACTTCAGTGTTTTTACATGAAGTCCTGTCATAATCCACTGTGTCAGGCCTAGGCTTGGCTGCTTCTGAGGGGGCCGTGACTTCATCAGAATTAGCTGATATGATTGAAATGAAAACTCACCCAAGTTCCCTCTACACCTTCACTAGGTAGTCAGAGATACCCCCTCAGGATTAAAGGCATCAAGGGGACACCCACAGCCTCTGGAGCCAACATGTCTCTATTTGGCTTTATTTTGTTTACATGTATGTGATGTGTGTTTGATGTATGCAAATGTATGTGTATTTCTCTTTAAGATGGGATTTCATGTAGCCTAGGCTGGCCTCAAACTTTGTACATGGCCAGAATGAGTGAACTTCTGACCTGTGTACCTCCCCATTCTGAAAGCTGCAATTACAGGCACACACCACTCACTACCTATGTTTTTATGCAGTGAAAAGGATTGAACCCAGGGCTTTATGAATGCTAACTGCTCCATCCCCAGTCCAGTCTCTATCTTTCAAGAGCAAGGACTGTGATCTCTGTGCTCAGGTGGGAAGCATCGTTGCTGACTGCAGCACTTACCTGGTCTAATGAGCCCCCCTCCAAAGTCCACTTCCGGTGAAGAATCACTCCTGAAAGAAAAAAGAAAAAAAAAAAAAAAAGCCTTGAGTCCCCCTGTGGAAGGGCATGAGTCACTGCATGGAGAGGCTGTCAGAGATCTGTTTCTGACTTTTGGAACTCAGATGCCTAAGAGGAAGACATTAAAACCCAGCTAGGAGACAGCTCAGTGGGAAAGGACAATGCTTGCAATCATGGGGACCCACTTTTCATCCCAGAACCCATGGAAATGCCAGGAGTGATGCTGGGTGCTTGTAATCCCAGATATGGCGGGAGATGGGAGATGGAGACAGGCAGATTCCTGGGGTTTGCTGGATAACCAGCCTAGCCTACTGGGTGACACTCAATTAAAGACTGTCTCAAAGGTGGATGGGGCCTGAGTTCGGCAGAAACAAAGCTACTCTCGGCAAGGAAGGAGTACCTATACTAAAGCAGTAGGCACCAAGGCTTTTACCAACTCCAGCACTGACTAGACCACAATAATAGCATCACCACACATGGTTCTAAGCACGTACAAAAACAAGCTCAAAAATGGCTCTGTTACAAAGTCAGGAGATGGCAAGGGAGATAAAGATAACCCAGTTCCAAGCATGTTCCTTCAACTTTAACATATTCTTTGCATCTGTTTCACCTTGCATCATTAAAAATATCCATTTTCAGGGCCTGGAGAGATGGCTCAATGACCAAGAGAGATTATTGCTCTTCCAGAGGACCTGAATTCAGTTACTATGCAGCCCACAACCACCTGCAACTCCAGCTCAGGGTGATCTGACACCCTCTTCAGGCCTCCTTGGGTACTGCACTCACCTGAAACACACACAAACACACACACACACACACACACACACACACACACACACACACGCAAACCAACTGGTTAAGTCTTCTAAAACTAACCAACTAGTCCTTGTTCTACTTCATGGAAATAAATGTGTGCTACAAAATAGTTGTTATTTATTTATTTTATTTTAATCCACACGGGGGCCATTTCCTCTTTCTAAGGGTTTACAGCATCAACAACTTTATCCCTGAGAACAAGCTCTAAGCAATGCCAGAGCAGGGTACAGGCCCCGTACAGACCAATACCTCAACCATTCCAGATCCACTGTCTCTAGGAGGTAGTTGGGCTCCATAAATGTTTACTGCTGGGTGGGGCTGTAGCCTTGCCCATGACTGCTTGAACCTCCTTAGATGAGTCTCTGAGATAGCTCTGAATGAGGTAAAGGAATGGATTCTGGGAAAAGATTACAATAAGGAGCAAAGCTACAATTCAGATAACTGCAGTTAACTAACAAGATGTGTGGGGCGGTGAAGGAATGGGTACTGTTTATGTGGGGAGGGCTCAGGGTAAGGCGTCTCCCTCCATCTCTCTCCACATTATCTTTTTAAGATTCATTTTTATCTTATGTATATGAATGTTTTGCTTGTGTGTATGTACGTGAACCGCATGCATGCCTGGGGCCAGAGAAGGCCAGAAGGGGGTATTGGATCCCCTGGAACTGGAGATCCAGATGGTTGCAAGCCTCTAGGCAGGTACTGGAAATCAAACCCAGATCCTCTGCAAGATCAAGTGATCTTAACCACTCATCTCTGCAGCCTCTACCTTACCTTCTAAGACAGAGTTCTTCACTCAGCTAGTGAACTCCAGGGACCCTGTTGTCTCTGTCTCCCTGAGTGCTCGGGTGACAGACACATGTCACTGGACCTGGCCTTTTATGACAAGCACTTTGTGCTCTGAGCCATTCCCTTAGCCCCCCAAGTTAACAAATTTTCTGAAGAAGATTCCTCAACATTTGTTCATCATCAAAATTATCTCACATCAGAAGTCCTGTAGGTCAACAACTTAGGAATCACCCTCCACCATACTAAAACTATCAGATTGGAAGAAATAAGTGACATGAACCAGGTTTTGACAATCTATTTGATGTTTAATGACATGTATCTGGGTATGTGCACCACATGCATGTAGGTGCCCATGGAGGCCAGAAGAGGACATCCAATCCCCTGAACCTGAAACTACACCCAATGTGGATGCTGCAGACCAAATTTGTGTCCTCAATAACAGCAGTACTTGCCATTAATGCCATTAACCACTGAGCCATCTCTAGAGCCTCCCTGAGGGGGAGGAAAAAATTTAATCCTTCACTTCCCCAATAATTTGTTAAGTCTTTTTTATTTTTCTAAAGCAACAGCCAGATAGTTAAGAAATGCCTTAAATAGCCAACAAGCTACTTCCCAAATCATCGAAGGAACACTGGCTCAGGGCTTTTGCAAAATTTGCGGTCAGTGAGAAGCTGAAAGGGCTGTTTACTTTTACCCTTGGCAGCACTCTGATGGTCAAGTAATCTTAAATCTCATTTCCTGCAGGGCCAGGTGTACAACAACTCTAACCATTCCAGACCCACTGTCTCCTACCAACTGAGCGACATCTTCAGGCCCAGGTTTTCCTGTTTCTTCATTATACCTAAACTAGGAAAGTGTTCACAGAGGTCATCTGGTAGCATTTTACAGCCATTCCTAACTCTGTAAAGAAAATGAGAGAGGAGGTTGTTTCCCCTTCCCAAGTCTCTAAACTGTACACTGTTGTAGTGTCTACCAAGTCAACACCCACACGGAGGAGCGCTCCATTGCATTTTTTCTCTTTTGGTTTTCCGAGACAGGGTTTCTCTGTAGCTTTTAGAGCCTGGCTTGGAAGTCACTCTGTAGACCGAGCTGGCCTTGAATTCACAGAGATCCAACTGTCTCTGCATCACAAGTGCTAGGAATAAAGGTGTGCCCCACCACCACCCAGGGGAGCTCTCCATTCCCACATAGGCCAGGTTGACCTCAAACTACATACACGGCCAATTTCTGATTGTCCCGTCACCACCTCCAGAGTGCTGGAATTATAGGCACGTAGCACCCAGTTTATGCGGATAAACCCAGGGCTTTGTTCATGAAAGGCAAGTACTCTACCAACTGAGCTACGTCCCAGCTCTGAATTTTCCTCTTTCTTAATTACATCTAAACTGTGAAAGCATTCAGAGGTCATGAGAGTATGGTTTAATCTTGAAAGGGAATTAAGGCTGCAACCCCTGGGGATGGCAGTGACAGCATAGACAAGAACGAAATCTCATGTTTAAGCAAAATTCATCTCTTTTGTTTTGTATTGCATAGAGCCATTACAAAAGGCCTACCAACCAAATGGTCCACTTGGGAAGTGATATTCTATGGCAAGTCTGACCCTGGGGATGCTCTCTCCTCCCAGCCCTCACCCAGAATAACTAAAAGGTATATGTACCATGAGAAGCCAAAGCACCTGAAGCCCAACTATGCTGGGGACTGTGCCCCGCCAACATACATGCCCCAAGTCCACATACATGCCCCAAGTCCACATACATGCCCCAAGTCCACATACATGCCCCAAGTCCACACATGCCCCAAGTCCACATACATGCCCCAAGTCCACATACATGCCCCGTCAACATACATGCCCCAAGTCCACATACATGCCCCAAGTCCACACATGCCCCAAGTCCACATACATGCCCCAAGTCCACATACATGCCCCAAGTCCACATACATGCCCCAAGTCCACATACATGCCCCGTCAACATACATGCCCCAAGTCCACATACATGCCCCAAGTCCACACATGCCCCAAGTCCACATACATGCCCCAAGTCCACACATGCCCCAAGTCCTTTCCACACTGTGTTCTGGACCATCTCCAGACCTAAATACAGCATATCCACGCTGTCCCCAGTCTGCCTGCACCATCCCCAAGCCTATCAATCCACTCTCAGGTCTTCCTATGCAATCTCTGCTTAGGATCTGACAGACAGGATGATGGAAGCTGGTTCTAGAATCCTGGCTCTCCCCTTCCCCTAACCCTCACCTGCTTTGGGTCCGTACTACTAGGTAAACCTCTTCTCAGGGTTTACACTCTGTAGCTTTTGCTCTTATCCTCTGTGGGTGATGTTCCTCCACGCCACAGCTCTATGTAACACAGCAGAAGCTATTCCTTCTGTACTTTACTTTAGAATCAAGGACAGGGGAGGCTAGCAGGAGACTCCAAAGCTGCCGTGTATGTTCATTCAGTAGTTAAAGGGAAGCTGTGGCTCTAGCAAAAGTATCTTCATACCTAGAAAGATCTCAAGTAGTAAGACTACCTGGTAGCATCCTCGAAGGGCATATTGCAAGACATGTAGGGGCTATAACTTACTTGATCTTCTTTTTCAAGTATCAGGTGATTATCCAATCTCATTGAAGTTTCCTGAGCATGGCACCCAGCTGTATAGAGTCCTCAAGCCCTCTACCAATACTGGCAATTAGTATGGCCATGGCTGCTACTGTTTTAATGAGATAATAAACTCACAAGAAATAGTGCCTTTGCCTCCCAAGTGCAAGGTGTATGCCACCACATCCAGCCATTTATCTGTATTTATAATCATGTTTAAAGTTTGTTGCACATCAAATAGCAAATCCTCCGTACAAAACATGAACACACCACCCTATTGTATACAAATTTGTATGTTGACACAGATTTGAGATTAATTTTGTTAAAACATGCTGTACCTACATGTCCAGCCTTGTTCAAGGTATTATACCTACACAGGTCATTTAACAATGTGATGCAAATTTTTAGTCCATGAACGTTATTATTACCAACTATATAAGATAATAAGGAAATGTAGGCTTAATTAGTCAATATTACAATCAAACTTTTAGTCATATTAGGTATGTTTTCAAGGTCACACAGAGTTATATTTTAGAGAGACAGGTTGTCTTCAAACACATCAGAGATCTACAGAAGATGGCATGTAAAAGGAACATGGGTTTTTCCTTTTATAAGACACGTCTGCTCCTGGCAGCACCAATTTAATACAGAAAAAATGATGGGCATCGGAGAGTGTACTGTCTTTGCAGCAAAAGTAAGCCACTGAGCAAGAACCTGCTCTTGCCTCAACTGCTGACAGTATACTGTCCAAATTGGACAAGCAGAATGCAAAAGAGAGTGACTTCAAATGTTGAA